CCCCCACCCCCACTTTGCAACGTACATGGGAACAAGCAAAAGCACAGTGCAAAAGCGCCACACCTCCTGGTGTTCCTGTCCGCTCCCCTCAAGTGCCACATGGGTATGTCGGGTCCACCCAGGGCACATATTCTCTGGGCATAGACCTAAAAAAGAGTATTATAATAAAATCAACACTACTAATTGTAAACACAACAATAAAGTATGAAAATAAGAACAGTTATTCCCATGCTTTGGACCTAAGCCAGGAAGGGATCAGAATCCTTTATGGATTTTGGAATCCCTGAATACTAAATACTGAATACTGCTGCTGTGGTTTGCATGTGCTTCCCATCTAAAGTATTGATGAATTGTAAAATGCTGACAGTTGTAAAATGGGATTAAAGACATATTTTGAAAACACATTTTAATGGACAAAATCAGAATCCTTCCTATACTCCTAAACCTAGGTATTTTGCATCACTCAGATGTTGAAGTGGCTCTCTAGATATCAGAAGGGCTTACTTTATTATTTAAATTCTGCAATACGTGGGAGAGGTGGAATGGCTTTACCTGGTGCTGTTCTGTGTTGGGTTAGGTTCTTAGAAGAGGGCATATCATGAATGGGGTCTCAATGAAAAGTATCAAAATATTGGCAGACAGACTCCTAAAATTGTTTAGGGATCCAGGCAGGTGCATATGAGAGATGAACTTGTTAAGCACCTTGGACGCATCACATCCAGCCCCTTGATCAGCACAGGACCCACCAAGACATCCTTGGCAGATGAGCAGTCATCTTCTGAAGACGCCGATTGAATGAGAACTTGCCGCTTCCTGTGGCAGTCTTCCACTGACTGACATAGTTCATGCAACCCAGAAATTTCTCCTAACATCTTGCCTGAATGTATTTCCTTTAAATTGAACCCATTGCTTTTGGTCCTGGGGCAACAAAGAATCACTCCACTGCATCTCAGATGTTCCACAACTGCTATTATGTCTCCCTTCAGTTTTCTCTTCTGTGGGCTAGATAACTAGCATTTGTAACTGTTCCTCTCACTACCTTGATTGTCATCCTCCAAACACTTAATTTCTTGGTATCCTTTTTGAACCATAGTTCATAAAGCTAGATCCAGGACCCCAGATGGGGTCTGTCCAGGGCAGAGTAGAAGGGGACAGTCACTGTTCGTAATCTGGAACCTGCTTCAGTTAATGCATCCCATTGCTGGCTTGTAGGTAACTTGTGATGAATAAGGACACCCAAATCCCTTTCAGCTGTCCTACTGCCAAGCCAGGTGTCCAGGCCATGTTATTATGTATTAGGTATTTTCACTGCCTTGAATTAAATATGAAAAAGGCAGGATAATAATCTAATAATGACAATTTAAAAATACTGACTGATTCGTGCCCAAACTGTATGGGATGAAGTATGGCTGGAAAGCACACGCGTGGGTGATCATCTTGACTGGTCCTTTTGAATAAGCTTGAAGGCTAGCTAGCTCTGTCCCAGAGGGCCAGATTGCTCTAGTGGGATGGGCAAGGGAAATGCTCATGGCTTGATACGAATCCAAGGGCATCTGAGAAGCAACCCTTCTCTTGTGTCGGGAGGTTCCCTTCTGTGTCCTCCTTACTTCCCTGTAGCATAATCCCATTTCTTCATGCTACTGTACAGGGGAGACATTCTATAGCTGATAGCAAGAATTTGCAAGAAGCAATCAGTGGAGCTGGCTGCATTTGGGATCTCAGCCACTCACGGCTCCAGTTGCCACGGCTGCAGCTTTGCCTTCCGGGCTGCTCCGCATTGCTCTGTGGCATTGATGCTTCAGAAGGCTTCGGTTAAACTGTCTCACAAAAGAGTTTTGCTGCTTGCATTTACCTTTGCTCCACGGAGGCCTGTTGGTGCTGCAGCCTGATCTGTCTGACAGTCATAGTCCCTGGTTGCTCAGGATAAGTTTCTGGGTTTGAGCTGTCAATGTTGGTTTAATTTTTGGATGACTGTAAAGTTTATTCCCATATTTGGTACGAGAAGCCTGACACGTAAGCCTGTATGTTGTGTATATATATTTTAGAAATGGTTGAATCAATGAAGAAAGTGGCTGGAATGGATGTGGAGCTGACAGTCGAGGAAAGAAATTTGCTGTCTGTTGCGTATAAAAATGTGATTGGTGCCAGAAGAGCCTCCTGGAGAATAATCAGCAGCATTGAGCAGAAGGAAGAGAACAAAGGTGGGGAAGACAAACTGAAGATGATCCGGGAGTATCGGCAAATGGTGAGTGCTGCAGTTGCGCTTCCTCAGCCCCCCCGAACCGTGCTTGGAAGTGGCTGTGCTTTGTTTTGCAAGGTTTGTGTAGCAGCGACATCTGCTTTGACAGTGTCTTTTTATCCCTTTCCCCTCCACTGTCCTGGACGTGTGTGTGGACCACAGCATTTGTAGTTCTTGTGGCATTCTGGCACAGCTCTTCCTTCCTTCCTTCCAGTGGGCTGAATAGCTCTGTTTCTGAAGGCAGGCATGGATTGCCACGAAAGGGAGCGGTAGAGTCTGTCTGGAGGCATTGCAGCGTGCCTCAGACGTGTATCCTCTTTTCAGCGGTCTGGTGCGTGCGTTACTTACTGGAGACCTTTGAGCATGGCTCTGTGTGCGGGTGAAACTGAACTACTCCCTTCACTTGAACATGTTTCCTGGCTACAGAATAACTGTTGAGGGCGGGACAGAAATGGAAGGATGCCTCTTGAAGAAGAAGAAGAAGAAGAAGAGCAGTCCACACTAACATTATTTCATAGGTTTTGCTTGTTTATAAATGGAATTTAAGTTCCATTTCAGATACTGGGTTGGCTTAGGAGAGGTAACCATTATTCCTTGGGGAAGGAGGCAATCCCAGATTCTTAAAATAGATTCAGGAAGTGGGACGTCTTCATTGTTGTAAGGCAGATTCTCAATATATGAGGTTTTGGGGGCCTTGCATAGAAACCTGAGATATTTAGAATTATATAGTTTCTCATGCTATTGATAGGTTCTTTGTACACTTCCTCTGTCTGAACTGGACTTAAGTTCTGTAATCCTAAAAAAAATGTTATATGGCACTGAAGGAAAGATTCTAAACAATTGCACTCCGTTTGCTGAGTCAAGCAAAAATGGCCCATTAATATCAGTTCTTGCTTTGGAGCAGAGGATGGATAAATGATTCCAGGAAACTCAGAACTGAAACGCACATAATAGCTGCTGTTCTCCGCTTCCTTGCCTCTCCTCAGTCCTTGTTTTCACAAGAATGCCTCTAAACATGCTAATGAGAAACTGTTGAACTACACAAATATATCTGAATTTTTTTAGTCATATAATTTAAGCCTCAATCAGGACCCTAACAATATTGGCAGTATTTTCCTTAGTCGTTTTTTAATTATCCTAAATAATGCAGTTTTCCATGTTGAGATGGTTCAGCCTTGGGAGGGAGTGGTTTGCACTGCCAGCTGCCACGATCACTTAGGCTTTGCAGAGGTCCTTCAAGCTTGTGTGCGTGTATGTACACACACCTTTGTAGGGTTAAGAGTCAAGGCCTCTTGGCTTTGGAATCTGATGAGGGGCTCCCTGGATTTGATTTTGAGGCAAAATCTCAGTTTTCTTTCTCTGAAAGGAGAGGAAAGCAGAGGTCTATGTTAGGGCAATAGAGCTGCGTGCCTTGACAAACAGTGTGTATGTGCACCCTCCTCAAAGGTTTTCCAGATATTTAGGAGTTTTAACTATCTTCAGTTCCTGATAGAAAAAGATTAGGCTGATTACTCCCAGCAGCTGAATTCATCGTTTGGTGGGGATGTAGCATATCCATGCGGATGTGATTTTTGGGATGGGCAGTCCCTCACTGGAACAGGCTAGATCTCACTCTCTGAGCTGCCTCACCTCAGGCTGCCCTGCTCTTCTGCTCAGGGTATCAGGGAAGATTAGCTGGGAATACTTGACCAGGGTTGTGGCACCTTTGCATGTTGGGATCAGTATGCCACCTGAACATGCCATCTGGTGAAATCTCGGCGCTCAGGAATAAACCCCCGACCACTGCTTTCTCAGAGCCCTGGCTTTGGTACAAGAGAAACCAGCTGGTCAAGAAGCACCCCTGTTGTCCATTGGAGCAGAGAACGGGGTGTCACGGCAGCAGGTCCAAAATGGAAAGATTAGACAACCCGTGATTCCTTTCAGAGATATTTCCTTACCAGATTCCTCAACGCTTTTTTCCACAGTGACAGATTGTACCGCCTTCGCTTGAAAAGCTGGGATACACTCAGAGATGGATGTGCTTTGAAAATAGCCCTGTTGAACTGTATAGTACAGGACATTTTTATGGCATTTTGTATGTCATAAATTGTTTTATGATCATTTTATGTCGTAAAATGTTTTATAAAGTTTGCCAGATTTCAGTTCCAAGGAAGTCATTGGCCCCAGATTGTGGACACATTCTGTAAGTTGGCCCATTTGAGATATTTTGGTTCAAAAATTTCACACACTTAAAATTGTGGAAGTTTTAATAGTGTATAGAGAAAAGATGTCCCTATCTAGTTTCCCCACCCTCTCCCATAGGTGCTGCTGTGGGGCAGGGGTTGTTTAGGTCAGCCGCCTAATGCTGGAGCCGCCGGCTGTTGTGACTAGATCAGCAGGGCGGAGGGCATTCTCTGAGAGGCAGGAAAATGCATTGGGCATAAGTTGACTGGCAGTTCTTTTTCTCTTCCTCATATGTTGTTGGTTGAATTCAGGTTCAAATGCTTTGATTAAACCCTAAGTTCTCTGAAAAAAGCTTTTTTTTCCCCCTTCCAAGGTTGAGACTGAATTGAAACTAATCTGTTGTGATATTCTGGACGTACTGGACAAACACCTCATTCCAGCAGCCAATACTGGTGAATCGAAGGTTTTCTATTATAAAATGTAGGTACCAGGTTGCAGGCATAGTGTGTGTGGAAGAGAGTGTGTGCCTTAACTAAACTGCTTATTTGTAGAAACCCTCTCTGTCTTAAAAAACAAATCCGAATGATGAAAACTGATTCCTTCCCCACCATGATAGAGATATTGAACACCCATGGAGGTAAGGAAATGGGCAGAGCTTGCATCTGGCTAGGCAGGAAAACAAGCAGGATGGAGAAGCAAAGGACAAAGAATAAAAAAAAAATTCCCTTGTTCTTTACATCACGTATCTGTTTTTCAACCCATATAAGCCATCAGCTCCTAAATACGTCCTTTTTTGGGGGGGGGGGTTGCTCTGTCTCTGTGGGTGTTCGTGTGTTGCTCTTACTTTAGCCCTCAAGAGAAGCATAAGCTGGGATTTGGGGAAATCTGTCATTGTCTCACCATGAACATACAGCCTGTTTATTTTTTCATTAAATGGCATAAGCTTTGTGCTGCCTTTCCAACTGAAGAGAATTGAACCAAGTCCTGGTTTTCATTTTTCCCTGCAAAGAGAGAAATGAGCAAAGATGTTCACATTGGGCAAACAGGTTTAAGTAGGTCTATTTATTATTTAAAAGTTTATGCTCCCAGAGTAGGTTACTTAATAATTGGTGAAAAAAATGCAGTTTGGTCTTTCAGTTGACAGACAGACTCGCCCTGGTTCCCCTCCCCCTTCTGCCTCATTTATTTTTATTGCAATAAAATATTTAGTTGGGGGGGGGATCAAGAATGCAGTAATCATACGTGGGAGCCTTACTTCATTGGCAAATCATGATTCATGAGAATCTCACATTATGCCATGCAAATATAGCTGGTTAACACAATAGTAATGATTTATTAATGTGCCTCCTGACTCCCAGTGAAATTTCAGTCACACTTGCCAAAGGTTTGAGCGAAGAGCCAGATCTTTGGGGTTTTTGAAACACCACCAGGTTAGGGGGGGCTGCACAAATCTCCGGGAGCAGGTGGGCATGTTTTAAATATTAAAATTCAACTCTTTATCCCATTAGTTAGAAATAACAGCGGCCCCAAGAGATTGAAACCCACTCCAGCAATAGGTCTCCTTGCGCATCCAAGGCCAGGACTTGCTCCTGACTGCTTTTCATTCCCTTGTCCAGGAAAGGGGACTACCACAGGTATCTCGCTGAGTTCGCCACAGGAAATGACCGGAAGGAAGCAGCCGAGAACAGCTTGGTGGCTTATAAAGCTGCTAGTGATATTGCAATGACAGAACTTCCTCCAACACATCCCATCCGCCTAGGACTTGCCCTCAACTTCTCCGTTTTCTACTATGAAATCCTTAATTCTCCTGATCGTGCCTGCAGGTAAGTGGAGGCATGCAGAGTAATAAGAGAAGCTAGGAAGCGGCGTCTCTTAGAGCCCTCCGGGAACGAGTGTCTCGGGGAACTCCAGGCTGGGGCTGCCCTCAGATCGCTCTGGAGTAGCACCGGAGGAGGAGGAAGAAGGGGTTCCCTCCTCCACAGGTATGGTCAGGGGAGACCGAGCCGGGTCCTGAAAAGGGAGGCCGCTGCAAAACTTAAGTGACCTGGGGGGGGGGTTGTTCTATTGCCAGGCTTGAGGTCTTCACCAAGCAGGAGCGGTTGGTTCCCTTGGCATCTTTTGCTACTGTGGTCATCCTCTGCTTATAGGTTGGCAAAAGCCGCTTTTGATGACGCAATTGCAGAACTGGATACGCTGAGCGAAGAAAGTTATAAGGATTCTACACTTATCATGCAGTTGTTACGTGATAACCTGACACTATGGACTTCAGACATGCAGGGTGATGGTGAGTAGCCCCAGCAGGCCCAGCCTCCCCTGTGACCTCGGGTGACACACCATCACGGAATAGGAACATACCCCTGGCCCGTAAGCCTAGGCAGCCCGGGGGCTGGGTAGGGAGTGGAATAAAAGATACTTCTTTTCCCCTGGCAGAAGAAGCAGCCCCAGAGGTCCTTTTACAGTGTATATTGGGGTGTGCAGTTCACAGATGGGAAAAAGAGCTCCCTCTTCAGCATATTTGCAGAGGAACGGTCAGGCCTTCAGCACACCAAAGCTCCCCCACCCCACACCCCCCCCTCCTTGCTTGCACCTGAGGCTGCTGTTAGCCCCATGGGCTTGTTATTAAGGTCCGCACAGCCTGACTTAGACCAAGTATTTAGAAGCCAATAAATTGTTTTTGGGAAGATTCTGCAAACTGCTTCAGGGAAAGTGGGAAGAAACCCAACCGTGCACTCTGCAGAACACAGGCCAGTTTGGGGTTTTAAGCCTGCACAAGTCTTACCTCAGCTGCTTTTACGTTACTTTTGAATTTTGTGTTCCAAGGGATTCCCTCTGGTGTGCCCATAGCTTTTCTTTGGTTGAATGACCCTTGTACATGGATGTAGTGCCGGGCACTTAAAAGCACACCACCCTTCTAGTTGCCTGATTAATTCCAAAGTTCTTCCAGCTGCATGGAAGAACTTCCAGCTGCATGGAGAGTCCTTTATTTTTATTTTTATAGAGTTGCAGTCGATTCCTGGTTTGGCCATGGGTTTTAAAAATTCCTACAGTGTAATTTCAAAATTTGAGAAAAGGGTACTGTAGGGGGAAGGATCTTCAGCCATTGAACAGAAATGTTAGTGCAGACTTATCTAGTTTCTGATCTTATTTTCAAACTTCATTCTGTTACAGAGAATTGTGTCTTTTATAGCCCTCCCTTTGTGACATTTCTTTCACCCCATCAAAAATATAACTTATATGTGTGATGCATTCTATGTTGTTACCTGAGAATAACACATAATAGTTTGAATGGGTTAATGTAAATTATTATTTTCAACCCCTGTATTTGTATCTAAAAGATAAAAAGATTTTAAATTCTTCCAGCCTAGTTTCTCTTTTGGAATTCATTCATCTCCTGAGCATTGCTGAAATTTTGGCTATGATTAATGCGTTGTTTGGCAGTTGAATATCGTGTTTCCCCAAAAATAAGACCGGGTCTTCTTCTTTTTTTGTTTTTGGCCTCCAAAAGAGGCACCAGGTCTTATTTTCGGTGTGTGTGTCTTTTCACTCACCTCCGGCACCGACAGCCCCGGCCGGCCAGCCCACTTCTTCTGCGGCCGAAGGAGCAGCTTCACTCCTTTAGCTCAGAACGGAGCTCCGGCCTGCATTTCGCAGTCAAAGGCCTTTCCGGAAGGCCTGTGCAGACGAGAACTGAGCAACGGATTCAATCCGTAGCTTGGTTTTCGGCTGCAGAGGCCTTGCAGAAGCAAGGTATGGATTGAATCCATAGCTCGGTTCTTGGCTGAGAAAGGCAGGCCTGGGGGCGCCGCAGAAGAGGTGGGCCGGCGAGGAGAGAGAGGCCTGGCCACAAGGTAAGCCAGGTTCAGGGCATGCTTCACCCCCACTCCTACCCCAGCTTGATTTTTAGGTGTGTGCCTCACCCTAAAACTAGGGCTTCTTTTTGGGGGTAGGGCTTATATTAGGCCCACCCCCAAAAATCAAGCTAGGGCTTATTTTCTGGGTAGGTCTTACTTTCGGGGGAAAACACAGCAGCAATGGTTAAATGTTTATGAAACTTCTGGATTTCCAATATTTCTGCATAAAGACGACCTAAAATGTGATTAGTTCTCCCCACAAGTTCTAAAACTAGATAAGATCACTCAGTCAAAACAAATGAACAAAAAACATTAAATTTGGTAATTTCTTCATTGAGAAAAGCAGTCCTATTTTATATGTGAACCTTTCTTTTTAGGAACTGGTATGCATGCCCCCCCTCCTCCCAGCAGCAGGGGGTTGGACTAGAAGACCTCCAAGGTCCCTTCCAACTCTGATATATTCTATAAGCCATGACACACTTCAACCTACCTTGTCGTGAAGATTAGGCTTAGAGAGTGAACGCCCAGAATTCTGTGCTTCCCACGCTAACACTCGATCACCTTCCCACCGATTGAAACTCACGACTCTTAATTTCCCCTTCAAATAAACTGGTAGCCCTAGGGACACTTTTCCCACCCACCAATATGTAGCTTTCGATCATTTTCTTCAGGGAATAAATGAACCAAGTATGTTTTTGACATTTGTTTGGGTTCTCTTTATCTAGTTCTAGGACTTGTGTGGAGAATATGTTATAGGTCATATTTCATGTTTTAGGTCATATTCAGGCAGAAATATTGAAGATTCTAAAAGGTTCGCAAACTTTTGTGTGCTTGTGTATTCCTGGATTGTGTGTGTTCTCATGTAGTTTCTGCGCTGCAAGGTTCACCAGATGGCTCTGGTATCCCACGTATATAGCGGTGAGGATCATAGTTTTGATCCGATAGGAAACTGACAATATAAAGTTCTTTCACCTCTTTTGTCTTGTGTCCCATGTTCGTCTCTAATAGGGTTTATTGCTGTGTTTATTTTTACATTTAGCTGACGACATTCCAATAGCTTGAGGCAGTTCACAGTTGCATATAAAAATGTAAAAGCATTTATCACTTTGGAAACTTTGAAACAAAGCAGTACAACGTCTGAAATTCTAAAAAAAAGTAGATTTTAAGCTGCAAAGTGTTCCCACGTAGGACCCAGGAGCGCAAAGGTCGCCCTACTGGGGTCCTGCAGTTCCTTTGGGTCTCAAGCATGTAAGACGAGTGCCCTGAATTGGGTTTGCAAAACAAGCAGTGCCGCTCGCTCGACACAGAGGTGATGCGGCCTCCCCTGGATGTTCCACTGGCCGTTGATTGATGCAGCTTCATTCTGGCCCCACTGTCTTCAAAGTCTTTCTCACAATAAGGACTGCAGTGCAATCTAACCTTGAGGCCACCAGCACACGTTTCTGTCCTCCCAAGAGGAGTATGAACTCTGCAAATTTAATGCCGGGCATTTTCTCCTTTCTTCCGAACCGCAGAGAGGGCAGACTCCCTAGTCTTTACTAATGCTGCTCTGGTCTTTTCCCCTCTCTTTCCCCCAGTTGCTTTCATCAACATTAATGTTTCTCTCTGCATCCCAAACCTGGTGGAATGAGAGCCAGCCAGCCTGGTTTCCCAACACCGTCTCCATCAACGGGAGACGCAGGTGTACCTGGTCTTGTCCTCTTCTTGGCGTGGGGGAGCTTGAAGAGATGATTGGGTGTCTCGGCAAAGACAGCGCAGAGAAAGCGGGTGCATATCATGCTTCTGGAAGGAAACTCTAACGGCTTTTACCTAAAGAGAACGCTGTTGCTTGGCAGCAGAATTTATTTATACAGCCTCTGCCGTTCTGCACGTGTTTTCTCCAGCTGCCTCCCGTTTTCAAACCTAGAAGGTTGTCAGCCAGCCGCTGAATTCAGTGGTCGGACAGTACCCAGTCAATTGGTCTCCGAGTTAGACACCGAATCCTGGCTAGTCCTTAGAACCAAGAACGATAACATCTAAATGATTACCTCTTCTAGGTGAAGCTGCATGATGATCGTTTAGATACTGCTGTTCTTGGTTTGTGCTGCCCAACAGAAACCTGATGCTGTGGGAAATGCAAGAGTTTGTAACTTGCGGGCTGGTGGAATACAGCTTGAGAAGACAGACTTGGGTGTCTTGGTCACTGTCCCATTGCAGAATCCCTCTCCTCCTAAAGGGTTGAAAGGCTTAGGGCTCCAGGAGGGACGGGGATGGGGGCAGAATGCAGCGGTCCTTGTTCTAGTTTTGTTTGTATGTATGTGTGTGTGTATCTTGCTTTCCTGTTTTCTGATGCCTTACAATTTCAGTGCTCAACAAGTAAATTTGGGCTGAGGTTCCTCCCCTTTTGATGCTTTTTCTAATCATCATAGTCAAATTCAATAGGTTACCTTTTCTTAACTCCAATTTTTCTCCCTTCCTTTTCCATTATGTAGATTCTTAAAAGGAACTCCACCTGTTCATTTTCTAATACTCTACTTTGTAAGTCTTCAACATGACCCTGGAGAATACCTTTTCCCCTCTTGTCACTCACTAATCGTGCTTGCATCATGCTTGCATCTCTGACTCATGCCAGGGCTATGCACCAACTGTCCCTCCCGCCCCCTCCCCCCCCAGTGAAGGTCCACCAGTACATCTTACGCAGAGCAGGATGCTTGACTACACCCTCATAGATGGTCAGTCCTTTCATTGCATCCCATGAGGGTAGAGTCACAACTTAGCCTGCTATTTCGTCTGAATTTAGCCTTTCTTGGACCCCGTGAACCAGCAAGTTGGGCAGGTTGTGTGTGTCCCTTTTACTGGCACAAGAACAGTTCCTGAACTGTCCAAAGAACTCTGGCATAGCGAAAGCCAAGCTTTTCTGCTGGTTGATGTGACCATTGCATGTCAAGCCGTGTTAGACGTGTGGTCTCCTGACCTTAGGGGGGGCTTGTTTGCTTGTGTGCAGAGAGCCAGAGGCAGCTTGCTGGTGGCAGAATGCAGTGGAGCAGCCCATCTCTGTTGCATGCTTCAGTTGGATCAGGTGGCTCCAAATTAACAAGAAGCATGGAAACATCTGTGGTCAAAAGGATCCTGAGTCGCTTTTGTCCACAGCTGCTTGTATTTGGGGTTGTAAAGTAACTAGAACACGGATGTCAAACTCACCACGTCACATGACGTGTCACGACATATCACGACTCTTTTTGCATCGCCGGCAATGGGGTGGCCGCGGCTTCGGTATGGTGAGACCGGCCTGCGGGCCGGCAGTTTGACACCCCTGAACTAGAATTTGCTCTTAACTGGAGTAGGTTTGCAGGACGAACTAACATCTTGCTGGTGAGATGTGGACCCTGAACTGCTTCCTTTGTCCTCACTGGGTTTCCGTGTGGGAGAGAACGCTTCTTGGGGATCGCTCCCTTGGTGGAGCCTTATGGTCACTGCCCCTCCGCTGTCCATCTGCCTCTGCTGTGCCTTGGGCTGTATGGACTGCCCTGCTCACGGGGGAAGGGAGGGGGAATTCCCAGAAGCACCGGCCAAGGGGTCTTCAAGGTCAGGTGGCAGTGCCTGCCTCTCTCCCCGGCATGGCCTAACTCTGCTGATTTTTCTTCCCAGGTGAGGAACAGAGTAAAGAAGCGCTGCAGGATGTGGAAGACGAGACCCAGTGAGATATTCAAGGCCAACAAAAGACCCCATCTTTGTCCCCCTTCTGCCCCCCCCCCTTCCTCAAAGTCCCCCCTCAGTCTCTCCCTGGGAGCCATCTTATCTGACGTTGTGATGGGTCCCAGAATTTAGGTTCCTACCCTGTTGGTTTTTTTTTTTTTTTTTTTTTTTTTACACAGTTGAAAAGTTCTTTAAAAGGCAAGAGTGAATGTCTGTGGATTTTACTGGTGCCAGCTTTCAGTTTCTTTAAGACACTAACCGGACTGGCTGCATGGAGGCTTTTTCTGAATTCCTGTGTGTCTTCTGTCAGTTGGAGGTAACATCTGGAAGCCATTAGAATTCTAGCGGAAGTATTTTGCACTGTGAAGTGCAGATGGTGGCATTTTTCATTTTTTATAATTGTTTAAACAATTTTATACCAGTGTTTAAAATTGGGCGTTTAGCTTGAAGTTACAGGTTTCATTGGAACAGTTCTTGTAATGGTTTTGCTGTAAAACAAAACGAAAATTCAAAACCGCTGAGGTGATGGATGCTGGTAACGGTTCACCATCCGTGGCTGCTCATTCTTGCCTTCTCTTTACTTTCCCTCCAAGCAGGTGAGCATTGAAGGTGGCGTTGGAAAGCCTGCATGTGTGTTAAATATTGTTCTCTCCCTCTTCCCTGCCCTCTTTGCTAGCTCAACCTCTTTTGTTCAGTATGTGTAACTTGAAGCTAATTTGTACTACTGGATATCTGACTGGAGCCACAGATACAGGATCTGTATTGTTCTTACTGAAACACAGCATGGAATTAACATTAAACTTAAATAAAACAACCCTAAATTAAAATGATGCCAAATACTACTGCTACTTTACCCTGGTCCCTATTCAGCAAGAGGTGCAGGCAGAACAAGTAGCAGGAGAAGCAGAGTTTATGGAGGAGAGTCGGTGGCTGTAATTTCATTAGATGGCCTCAGCCAGGATTTGGGAGTCTAAATTTGTGGCTGGACACAGAGCACCTTCCACCACCCTGAAGGTTGTACCTGCTTTGGCAGTGGCAGCTTGAGGCGATGCTTCCACCCTCTAAGCAAGCAACAGCGGGTCAGGTTGAGCTAGAGCACCTCTTCGAAAAACGAGCCGTGTTCCCCCCCCACCCCCCCCGTCCCCCCTCCCACCTCCTTTCTTTCGCCCTCCGACTTTCTCAGCAGCTGCTTCCTTCCAGTGTTCATCTCAACTTACACCTTGTTCATTTCTTTCGGCCCCGGGCTAGTAAATATTGGAGGGATTGTGTGGTAATTTTACATACACTCAGAAACATTTTCCTTCAGTGCTTTGGCTCTTCTTTTTGTCTGTGAATGCCTTATCACATACCTCTGGTCTGACCTGTATCATTTGGGATTCCCCTTTGGACTGAGCAGCAAGTCTGTTGGATAAATAAAATACTGTGTAAAGATTCTGCACCTCGGCGCCCTCTCTGCACAAGCCTTTCAAACGGGGGGAACCTCTCAGCCGTCACCCAGCATCAAGCCAAGCGCTTCACCTCTTGCCAGAGCAACGCTGGGAGGGCCCAGGGCATGTGCCCCCAAGTTCCGCCCGGGGGCAGTTACAAAATACATACCTGTGTGAAAAGGCAGTTTCCTTGATCCCATGGAAGCCTCTCTTCCCCCCCCCCCCCCCCCGAGAGAGAGAGAGAGATTTGGCCTTGCTAAAATGGCTGGCACCTTCCTTAGGCTAGTTATTTCCTGGAAAACCCATCACTGAAGACGCTTTTGGACTTCTAGGACACCATTTCTTAATCCCTGGTTTTACCAAACATGCCGAGACCCCATCAAGCAGGGCAAGGAGAAGGATGCGCCAGCAGAGCAGGGTGCTGCCTCTGTGGGCCACGCTGGCTCCAGTTCCAAGCCCTCTTTCGCTTGGGGCACAGGAAGCCTCTCAACCAGCAGCCCTGCGCAGAGTCCCGATAACGAGGCCTGGGGCTTCTGTGTCCAAGGGGGGCTCCGAGCCCATTCTGGGCAGTCCGGGCAATGGAGGGAGTGTGTCGCCCAGGGCAAGGCAGGGCCCTGCTGAGGGCACTGCCTGGGCTGCTCCTGCTATGTCTTGCAAGAGTGATGGGCCAAGAGGGCATAAAATGGGTTTTCCAGAGCTTTTACCCAACACCTTGAATGCCCACAGGATTTCTTGCCCTAGGGGCACGGCTCTCCTCAAGTGGTGGAATGGGTGATTGAATCACGCTGTAGGTTTGCCAGGGGTCATGCGGCCTCCCAGAGCCAGAGAGCAGCGGGCTGAACCCGCTGCTCTGCATCCAGAAGATTGACTCAAGCCAGGCAGGTTTCAGCTGAGTCCTTGTTGGTCCCTTTAATCGTTTACCAGTTGCAAATGGCGTGGGCATAAACACACCCTCTGGTGCTGGTCCCGTTTGCGAGCTATCCTTGCTCAAAGGCCTTGTTCCGATCCACTGGGGCAGAGAGGAATTGGCAGACTAAAAGGGACAGCTTTCAGGAAGCCCCATCGCTTCACAAAACATCTCGCCCATCACTAAAGTTGCAGCTGACCAGAACGCTACCATTCGCTGTATACAGCACCACTTCTGGTCCTCCCCCTGGTACCCGTCAGGGGAAGCACCCCACGACTTGGGGCAAACCTGGGTATTCACCGCTGCTGATTGGAGGTGGAGTGGATGCTTTCCTTGGCCTTCAGTTCTTCATGCTCAAGTCCCAAAGCTGCAGGGAGCCTCGGATTCAAGACCAGGGTGTGATCTGGAACAGGCAGGAGTGCAATTAACTTTTAAGGAGCTACGTTTGCGCCTGTGTGCTCCAAAGGTTTGCCTAGCTTCAGTGGACCAATGAAGGGCACAATATGTTGTGTTTGCATAGTGTGAAGTTTTGGTAATTTTATTAGGTGGGGCTTTGAGGATGAGGCATATGGTAAGAGTCCAGCTGCTGCATTAGTTCAAGGTTCATAGTATTGTGTGAGCCTAAAAATAATTAGTGTGTTAAATGATCAAATCTGGTGTTGAGACAAGGACACCTGTCTGCATTGTGAACTCTTAACAAAAATTGGAAAGAAAAAAGGAGAAGCAGCAGCAAGGTGGGTAGATGGGCTCTAGCTACAGCAATGATGGGGGGCACCATTGGAAAGCCAGGTTAGGGACGGTCCCATAGAAAAGTACGCAATTGCCTAGGAGTCAACTATTAGAATAATTCAGAGAAGGTCCTGTTTGCACAACTAAGGATCTCATTTTAGTTGCTAGTGCCCTAAGTAGAAGGGGATGTGCGTGTGTACAGTGGCCCTAGTGGTTAAGACATGGCTTGTGGACTGATATATACCAGGTAAGTAACTGACTTATGCAAGTTTGCGTCCTCAGAGCAATCTGGAAAAGTGGTAAGATGAAGCCTTTGGCTTTAGACATTTGACTGGGCACCATTTTGAAAATTCCATTCTATTTAACAAATGCATGTTTCATCCAACCTTCCCATGTTCTGGGCACTGGTTGGCCAGTTGCCAGCCCAGAATATCCTATAAATACTGGGCACCTTCCATTTTTTCCATCTAACTGCCCCCAAGCACTTCGCTGGGGAGGAGGGGGCTTTGCCCGTCTCCCAGGACTGAGCTGTGGGGTGTCAGGCCAAGCAGTTGTCCTGCAATGAACTGAGGGGGGGGGGAAGTACATTTAAATGGGCCCAAATAAACCAGTATCTGTCGATTACGAAGTAATTTGCCAAATTACAGCACAATCAACAAACTAACAAACAGGATTTTAGTAAAAATTTATTTGGCATATATATCTTGATTCATATCGCACATTGCACAGAGCCTTAAATCTTATGTACATTATACCATAGGCCCCATTTTAGAAATGACAAAACATTTGTCACCAAGTAGGGAAGGAAGGAAAATTCCACCTTTGAACCTGGGCAGCAGTAAATTAAGCACACATACGAAGTGATACTGATTCTATGTAAGTAATGCAAAAAGCTTGTTTCAGATCAATAGGCATAAACACTGAAGCAGCTTGTTCCCAAATCTTTGTGCCGAAAATGTTCCTTTGCAATTCAGAAATGTGAGTTCAATCAGTGTTGTTTTCAGAGGACAAATAAATAAACTTGGCTCCTTGAACAACTGATTTCTCAAGCTAGAAAAAAGCAAGCTGAGTAAGATTAAAAATTTAAAAATTCTGAATTGGGCAAAAAAGCCCAGTGCTTAAAAGTAAGCTCGCACATGAAGCAATAATCATTTAAACAGCTTTCATGAAAGGTAATCAAAATGTAGATACTGCCCATTTGTATGACAGCAGAAGCTAGGTCAGTGTCGCATGAAAATGTGTCAAGAAAGCCATAGTCAAAAGGTACAAGGCAAACTTAGTGTCTTACTAGATACTTTCAAAAAAAAAAACCCCAAATATTTAGAACTTCCCAATCTAGATTCTACCACTTTTAAAATCACTATATTTTCAAAAATGCATTTCAGTAATTTTTGAGGTCTTACTGTTTAGTTTTTTGCTTGATATTTCATAGCAATGAAATAGCAGCACAATGAATATTGTGTTGAAGGCTGTAATGGAAAAGCCATTTCTATGAGGGTCAGTTTGTGGAGAAGATATTGCTGAACTCCGTTTGGCTAAGTCAAAGTGCAGATATAAATAATCCATCCAAACCAGCAATTGCCAAGTCTTGGGAAATTTCCAGGAAAGGAAAGGGGGAAGAGCATAGAAATGCCAAGAAGATTGTTATTTCTTGGATTATCACAATTTCTCCAATTAGAAATAAGAAAATAATTTTCATAGTGCAAACATCCCATACAAGGAGGAAATATTTACAAATTTCCATCTGTACATTATGGCTTTTTATATTTTCATACAAAGCACCCAAAGACAGGAGAGGATTTCTTTACAAAATAGTTTCATATAAAATTTGGCATTTCACTGGGATTTGCTGACAACTTTGCAGGTTACCTCACTCTCTTTGTGGGCATCATGGCCGCCAGCCTGTTTAGTGCCGACCGGCAGATTGGGTGTGGATAGAACGAAAACCAAGGGCAGAGCTAAAGGAGGGTCTTTGGTGGCCAG